TGCTGCACCTGGCCCTGTAATGCCATCTCCCTGGGCTTCCGGGCTGCGTCTGTCTCAGCTCCTGCGCCCATTCCTCTGACTTTCCTCTATGTGTGTTCTCTCCCTTCTCCCAACCTCCAGGCCTCCATCCAGGTGCCTCCCCTGGGCTCCCAGCCACGCTTACGGCGGCCTCCAGATGTGCTCCAAGACTGAAGGGAAGCTGCACCTGGGCACATGTGAAGCTGAGCTAGCATCTTCCTCCAAACTGCCCTCTCCCCTGCCCAGCCGGGGCAGCTGGACTCCACCCCATCCCCTACCCTGCCATCTTCACTGAGCTGCCAGATATCTTCAGGGTCTGCCCTGCCTCTCCCCACCACCATTTCTTTAGCTTAGGGTGACTTTGGCCCCTGATTTGCTCAACAGCTCTGGGCCAGCAGGGCTGTCAACAGCCATGTCCACAGGTGAGAGCATCCTAGGAGACGCCCATGCTTTGAGAGCGCCCCGTGACAACAGAGATTCCTCTACAGAATTTATTTTTGGAAGAAAGCATGTTCTTTGTCCAGGAGAAGATGCTGATTTTGGAGAAAGATAGGAAGAAGTTGGTGACTTTAGAAGACACTGTGCCTTTCAGTCCAGGGTTCCACCACCATGACGGACGGCTAGAGAGTGGGAAGCAAAGGGCCGGCGGCAGAAAGGCTGGGGGCCGTGCTGGGTGCTATGTGTGCTTGGCAGGGAGAGCCATTCCACTGTGCTTGCTGGGGCCCCTCCTCTGCCGCCCCCCGTGCAGTCCCTCAGCCCATCCCTGCAGTCCCTCAGTGTTGAAGGACCAGAGAGAGGAGGCCAGTCCACACAAGAAGGGCGGAGGGAGCAGGGACTTCCCAGAGCCCCGCCTTGCCAGCCAAACAGCACACAGTGAGCAGGGCCTGGAAGCCCCGGGGGTGCCGCATGAGGCTTTTTATTTTGTTAGAACTACACGATATCCATGAAGTCAGTGGTTTGGGGCTGGGCAGTGGGAACTTCATGGTTAAGGAACTCCCGGGGGCCCTGAAGCCTCAGCCCCGCGGCAGTGTCTGGTCAAACCCACCTACAGCAGTGAAACCTTCCACCTCAGGGCATCCCAGGCTTTCCAGGCTTGAGAGGAAATTCAGGCGTCACTGTTCAGCTCAATACTGCCTCATGGCCAATAAAAACAGTGGCTGACCTTCAGGAAGCCTTCGTGACCTGTTTTGAACCACATAATCCTCACGTGGCCCTGTGGGGTGGGCAGACCATGACCCCATCTTGCAGAAGAGGAAACCACAGCCCACAGGGTGATCGTCCAAGGTCACACAAGCCAAGTGAGGGGTGAGAGGTGGACAGAGGCAGAAACCAACAGAACACCGGGAAAGAGGGTGTGGTGGCGAAATGATGCTCCCCGAGACGATGTCCCCAGCCTCATCCCTAGAAGCTGTGAATCTGCCCTTATAGTGAGAAAAAGCACTTTGCAGATTGACTACAGGTTGCTGATTAAGATCCTTGAACATTTTTTAAATGGACACATCATCGTTGTACATATCCATACGGTTCCCAGTGATGCTTCCATAGGGACAGCGTGGAGTGGTCAGGTCGGGGGGCCCAGAGCTCCCATCACCTCAAACATGGACTGTTTCTGTGGGGAACATTCGATACCTTCCTTCCAGCGACGTGAAACCATATATTCTTGCTGATTTACAGTCATCCTACAGTGCTATCTAGAAGAGCGGTCCCCAACCTTTATGGCACCAGGGACCAGTTTTGCGGAAGACGACTTTTCCATAGACCGGGGAGGGGATGGTTTGGGGATGATTCAAGTGCATTACATTTATTGTGCACTTTTTTCCATTATCACATTGTAATATATAATGAAATAATTATACAACTCACCACCATGTGGAATCAGTGGGAGCCTGAGCTTGTTTTCCTACAACTAGATGGTCCCATCAGGGGGTGAGGGGAGACAGTGGCAGATCATCAGACACTAGATTCTCATAAGGAGCGACATAGACCCGTCACACACACAGTTCACAGCAGGGTTCATGCTCCTCTGAGAATCCAGTGCTGCCACTGATCTGGCAGGAGGCGGAGCTCAGGCGGTAATGCTCACCCACCTGCCATTTGCCTCCAGCTGTGCAGCCCAATTCCCAACAGGCCATGGCCGTAGTGGTCCCCGGTACCAGGGTTGGGACCCCCTGCTATAGAACACTAGAACGTGTCCCTCCTGACCAGCTGCAATTCCGTGTCCTTCAACAAGTCTCTCCCTATCCTCCCTGCCCTGTCCTTCCAGCCTCCAGCATCGCCTGCCCTGTTGTCCTTCTGTGAGATCCATGTTCCCTGCCTTCTATCTCTGAGCCAAGTTCAGAGCCCTGAGATATGAGATGATCCTGCCTTAGCCAGGAGACCCTAGTGCCGTCACACATGTTCCTATGAGAGGGAGGCAGAGAAACCACCCGGGAGAGGCGGTGTCCGTGTGAGCACAGGGGCAGAGACTGAAGCGATGCGGGCAGAGGCCACCATCCACCCCACTGAGCAAAAGCTGGAAGAGGAACAAAGGGGCCTCCCTGAGCCTCTGGCGGGGAGCACAGCTCTGCGGACTCCTCGCTCTCTCTCAGTAACACTGCTCCCAGGCATCTGGCCTCCAGAATAACAGAATACATTTCTGTTTTTTAAACCATCAAGTTAGCGATGATTTATTAAAGCAGCCACAAGAAACTCTGCAAATGTATGTGAAGCATTGTATGATCGACGTAACTTGCACAATTTCCGGGTATTCTGGTTTAAAACGTCTTTCAGACGACAGTAATAATGAAATAGCAATCGCGAAATAGAGCCCCAGCCTTCTAATGGGTCAGGTCTAGCCCCTTCAATCCCTGGCAGACGAAGGTGCTCTCAGTCTTCAAGGACCTGACTGCCTCGCCTCCTTGCAGGGCCTCCCTGCCTCGGGCTCCCACCCTCCAGTGGCTGTGGTGTTCCAGCTGCCCCTGTGTGCCCCACAGGCACCTGCTGCCTGCTGCAATGCAGTCTCCTCGCTCCCTGCCTGCCCACAGGTGGCTGTCTCTGTCCTGCTAGCCCAGGGCCTGGGCAGCCTGAGTGCAGTGGTGCCTGCCCACTGCCTCCTTGAGTGGACACCACAACTTTCATCCCTGGCAGAGCATCAGTCACTGTCTTCTGACCACCAATGAGCAGCCCAGGGGTTGTCCACGGGCCCATGGACAGACGCCTCGGCTTGGCCCCCAGGAAAGGTGCACTGGGCATGAGGGTCTGTGCTCACGCACAACGTGGCAGAAGAAGATGCAGAAGCAGCGCCAACCACCTCCTCGGCGGGCAGCAGAGGCTAAAGCCAAGCCCACGAGGCCTCCAGAGCCCCCAGCCTGCAACGTGCAGTGCGGCCACACACCTGGCTGAGCCCCTGCTGGGCCCGCACCACAGGCGCTGTGAGTAGGTATGGCTGGAAGGGACTCACACCTCCGTGTGGCGGCCGCTGCTGAGCCGGATGCCAGCCCACCTGGTCCCCTGCCCACAAACACAATCCCACGACCTGGAGCCCACGTGTCTCAACTGGCAGAAAAATCGCGTGGGCTGCTGGCACCCCAGGCAGCACACAGACATCCAGGGCACAGCCTGACGCGGGAACAGTGGGCCGCAGTCACGGGCAGAGCCGGGCCTGGAATCACCACCCTCCCTTCACCTGCAGAGACCTGGCGACAAACACAAATGGAAAGGGCTCCAGGCCCCACAGCGGGGCTCAAGCATGAGCCATTCCGTGAGCTCAGAGTCCAAGTCACCCTGTCACTGGGTCCCCCAAGATGAGAGCCCGGCACCCAAGTGTTCAAACTCCGGAGCGTGATCCTCCCTACCCACTAAGAAGGCCCAGTCAGGACCTGCCAGCCCAGACCCAGCGCAGCCAGGGTTTTTATGACCGGGGAGCCTCTATGTGTGTTCTCGGGGAAAATAAACCAGCCCTGATGAGAGGTTCCCAAGAGCCAGCTCCAAACACCAACAAGGAAAGAGGAACACTGAGAAGCCTCTTGCTAAGACAACACCCAACACATAGGGATATAAAAGCTCCCAGCCCCGAGCGCCTCGCACTCCCTCCCCCACTCCCTCCCCCACTCCCCGCCCTCACCCACTCCCCCCTGCACTCCCCACTTACCCCTTCCCTACTCCCTCCCCTTCCCCCCACTCCCTCATCCACTCCCCTCTCCACTTCCCCCCACTTCCCCCCATTCCCTCACCCACTCCCCCCACTCCCTCCCCTGCTCCCCCCACTTCCTCACCCACTCCCCTACTCCCTCTCCTCCCTCTCACTCGCTCATCCACTACCCCCACTCCCTCACCCACTACCCCTACTCCCTCACCTCTACCCTCTTCCACCCCCCATCCCCCACTCTCTCATCCAACTCCTCTCCCCCCCCCATTTCCCCCCTTTCCTCACTTCCCCCAACTCCCTCTGTCACTTCCCTCCCCCACCCGTCCCCTACTCCCCTCTAACTCCCTACTCCTACTCTTTCCCCCTCTCGTCTCTCTCCCTCTCCTTTCCCACTCCCTCACCCACTCCCCGCTCCACTCCCCCACTCCCCTCACTTACCCTCCCCCACTTCCTCCCTCCTCACTCCACCTCTTCTTCTCGCTTTCCCCCCACTCGCGCCCCTCATCCACTTCCTTTTCCACTCCCCCTTATCCCTCACCCACCCCCTACTCCCTTCCCCCGCTGGGCCCTTCCTCACCACTCTCCCACTTCCCTCCCTTCTCCCCCCAACTCGCTCACCCACTACTCTCCATCTCCCTCACCCACTACCCACTCTCACCAACTCCCTCCACTCCCCCCCACCCCCCCAATCTGCCTCACCACCCCCCCATTTCCTCCCCTTCTCCTCCCACTCCCCCAACTCCCTCTGTCACTTCCTCCTCCATCCCTCCCCTACTCCCCCCTACTCCCTCACCTACTCCCTCCCCCACTCCCCCCCACACCCTCACCCACTCTCTTCCATCTCCCCCAACTCAACTCCCAGCATGGCCATGTCCACCATGTCCATCTGCTCCAGTGACCTGAGCTATGGCAGCCGCGTCTGCCTTCCTGGTTCCTGTGACTCTTGCTCTGACTCCTGGCAGGTGGACGACTGCCCAGAGAGCTGCTGCGAGCCCCCCTGCTGCGCCCCCAGCTGCTGCGCCCCGGCCTCCTGCCTGACCCTGGTCTGCACCCCAGTGAGCTGTGTGTCCAGCCCCTGCTGCCAGGCGGCCTCTGAGCCCAGCCCCTGTCAATCAGGCTGCACCCGCTCCCGCACATCCTCGAGCTGCCAGCAGTCTAGCTGCCAGTCGGCTTGCTGCACCTCCTCCCCCTGCCAGCAGGCCTGCTGCGTGTCCATCTGCTGCAAGTCTGTGTGCTGTGTGCCCACCTGCTCTGAGGATTCCTCTTCATGCTGCCAGCAGTCTAGCTGCCAGCCAGCTTGCTGCACCTCCTCCTCCTGCCAGCAGGCCTGCTGTGTGCCCATCTGCTCCAAGCCTGTCTGCTGCAAGTCCCTCTGCTGTGTGCCTGTCTGCTCTGGGGCTTCCACTTCATGCTGCCAGCAGTCTAGCTGCCAGCCGGCTTGCTGCACCTCCTCCCCCTGCCAGCAGAGCTGCTGCGTGCCCGTCTGCTGCAAGCCCGTCTGGTGTGTGCCTGTGTGCTCTGGGGCTTCCTCTCTGTGCTGCCAGCAGTCTACCTACCAGCCAGCTTGCTGCACCACCTCATGCTGCAGACCCTCCTCCTCCGTGTCCCTCCTCTGCCGCCCTGTGTGCAGACCCAGCTGCTGCATGCCCGTCCCCTCCTGTTGTGTGCCCACCTTCTCCTGCCAGCCCAGCCACTGCTGCCTGGCCTCCTGCATGTCCCGCCTCTGCCGCCCTGTGTGCTCCGCCTGGCCTGCTGAGGCCTCTGCTCAGGCCAGAAGCCCAGCTACTGATGGGCAAGTCCCCTAGGACGAGCCAGGCTCAGGTTCCCCCCAACCTCTCCCACTGGTGACCTCTCAGCACACGCACTAGTACATGCCGCACTAGTACACACCACACTGGTACGCACTGCACTGGTACACACCACACTGGTACACACTGCAGTGTGCAAGCTGGCTGACCTCACACCCCACAGCCACGGCTTACCCATCCACTACCTCCAAGCCAGGCCCAGGCGACCATGAGACAGCCCTCTCCTATTATTGAGGGGCCCCACGTGTTCCCTGGCAGAATAGTCACCCACAGCCACAGGAGGTCCCTGGACCCCCTGCCCTTCTCCTCCAAGCCATCAGCCGCCCTTGCCCACCACGTGCCTCACACAATGAATAAACTGGCCTTCCCTGCGTCTGCGTGCTCCTCTCCTGGCCTAGTGTTCTATTTCATTCTTTCTCTGGCCCTCTGTGCAAACACAGCCCTAGCTTTGGCAACCCTAGCCACGTCGTGGGAGCATTTCTAGTGGTGCTGAGTTCCAGGCTTCCATCCCTGCAGCCCAGGCCTCCTGGATCTGCACCTCCAGGAAGCTCTCGGGGTGACCCTGCTGCAAATCCAGGATTCAGGTGGTGATGTCTCTGGTGGCACATCTGACCAGAGGACTCCTTGGCAGGAGGGGCCTGGTGCCCCCATGCCTCCCTGTCCCTGGTGAGTTTGAGGAACCCCGGGGACAGGGCCCAGATTGGCCTCTGTGCAGGGCCCACAGCAGGCACAGCTGAAGCTGAGTGTCACTGTGGTCAACCAGCTCCTGGGTGGGGTGGGGTGGGGCCTCCCTCTCCCCTGGAGCCCTGGCATTTTATTTAAATGGCCAACGTCTTCTGTTTGTGCTTGTGAAGGGTAATGCAACACCTTTTCTGTGGCCCCAGGTCTAGCCAGGAGCAGCAGAGGTCAGAGGGAAAGAGGCCAAAGGGTACATGACCTAGGGATCCCACACTATGGGATCTGGGGCCCAAGCTGGCCACTCTTTGGGGGTTTCCTTTGGGGCCAGTGTTTCCAGTATCCCCAAGGGTCCCACACCCAGGCTCACTCCCCATCAGAGCGGCCTCCTCACTTGCTGTCCCCTCCACACCACACCAATGCCACCGCCCAGCTCCTGAGTCCCCCCAGCTGCAGTGGAGCTGGAACAGGGTGGGACTGAGAGGGTTGCACAGGGCTGCAATCCCAGGAGGCCCTGAAATCCAGCAAGACGTTCCCAGGACCCTCAGTGCAGGTCTAAGATCACCTGGCCTCTGTCTCCTCTGGAGAGTGTGGGCAGATGCCCTCGACTGGGCCAGCTTTTCCAGTGCCACTCTCCCTGCAAGGTCCCTCAGTGAGAGGAGACCCTCAGTGAGAGGAGACCCTCAGTGAGAGGAGGGCCCTCCCGCAATTAGAACAGGGTTGGTGTCAATAGGTTCAGATGGACTGGGTCCTACCATCATCTTCCTAGCCCCTGGGGGTGGGGAGGCAGCTGGGACCCTGCCCCCTGCTTCCCTGGGGTACCCCACCACCACCACCACCACTCTCCAGGGGTCCCTACCATGGAACATGGGGTGAGAGAAGCCAGTTCCCCACTTCCCTGGCTGTTGGGGCCTGAAATTTTCTGTGGCCTGTCAGTCCAGATTTTCCCCCGTCTGTGACATCATCAGCCTCCCTCTAGCCAAGTCCACCCCCAACCCCCAGGGAACCCACACAGTGGGGTGTGGCCCTGACCTGCCAGAGCTGTTGGCCTCCAGTGGCAGGTAAAACCCACGGCCTTCTCAGAACAGGTTTCTCAACACATGAGACAGAACACACCAGACTTCCAAGGGGGACACCTGGATGGAGCTGGTTACCCAGATCGTTCACAACCAAAGGGCAGTGGCTTGAGAATCTTTCCACCAAGGCTTGGATGAACAAGAGGAGCAGGGGTCTCTCCAGGATGGGCCCACACGAAGTTTCCACAAATCTACCACGGGGACCAGAAGCAGAGCCTTGTTGGGTGACAGTGGCAGGTGCTGCCCACTCAGCCGTGCACTGCCTCCACACCCATCACTGCGGAGATGTTTTCAGGAGAAAGATGCAGCAGCTCCCACCCAGTCACGGCCCCTGCACGCCACCCACGGACCCTGGAAGGAGCCCAGCTGCCTGGGGGCGCAGTTTAACTACAAAGGAGCCCTGGATGCCGCCCCGCCCAGATACGCTGACCTGCTCTCCATGGCCGGCGACGGCCTGTCCCCAACGACTGGTGACCCCTCCCTGGCGCCCCAAGCTCAGCCCCTAACCCCCAGCTGCAGATCGAGGCCTGGTGCGAGCACGGGTTCCCCCAGACCCTTCCCAGTGCCCACCGGCAGCCTAGGCCGGGTAGAGTTGGCAGCGCCTCCCCTGTTGCAAGACCAGGCTCTGGTAGAAACCTCAGAAAACATGCACCGGCAAAAGCAAGGAAGGGCGGCTGCGTCCCGGGTTCTTCCGCGCAGGTGTGTGTACCCGCAAGCACTGACCGCACTGACCCACGCGCACACACCCACGCGCACACCCATGCGCGCACCCACGCGCACACACCCGCAAGCACTGACCCACGCGCACACACCCACGCGCACACCCATGCGCACACACCCACGCGCACACCCATGCGCGCACCCACGCGCACACACCCGCAAGCACTGACCCACGCGCACACACCCACGCGCACACCCATGCGCGCACCCACGCGCACACACCCACGTGCATGTACCCATGTACACACCCGTGCGCACACCGCTGTCCCCAGCCGTGCAGTACGACCCTCCCGGAGTTCCCGGCTCCGACCGGCATGCAGCACACTCTAAACGCTTCCCACGCAGTCATTTTGCTGCGCTGCACTTCACCCACTTCTCAGAGGAGGCAACCGAGGTGGAAGTGCCGGTGGGGGGTATTGAGCAGCTCCGGGACTCAGGGGTCGTCCTGCCACCGCTATCCTGCCCCAGCTGCTGGGTCAGGGGCTGGGGAGGGGCTCCCCAGGCTGAACCCGACTGGGTCACCCTAGAAGCGAGGCGAGTTTCTCTTCTGTTTCTCTTCGGCGCCCCCAAGCCCCTGACAGTGCCCAAGGTGCCCATGGGATTGGATTCGCCAGAGTCCCCTATGCAGATCCCACCCAGGGCCAAAGCCACCCCCAAGCCCCACCTTGGTGGGGGCGATGAAAAGTGGGCCATCGAGAGATGGGGTCCCTCCACCCCCAACCCCTCCAAGGACAGAGGCGGGTAGGGAAGCACCCACTTTCACGTCCGTCCCCACCCGACTTTCCTAGTGGAATTGGTGCCCGCATCAGTTGGGGGTTCTGGGAACAGTAAGGCGGGGTCGCCTCCATTTATCAGTTGGGTGGGACCAGGGAGCAACCCTAGCCCCAGCCCAGGCCATCAGGGTGCGAAGTTCACTGGAGGCGGATTTGGGATTAGGAGGGGGCGACATCCAGGAGGACTGCACCTGCCCTCCCCACTCCTGCTGCTCCACCCCCACCCCCACCCCAACACCAAGGTCTCCACCAGGAAGATGGGGGTGGGGAGAGGACGCAGGGTGGAGAGGGTGAGGGGAGAGAGGACGCGGGGTCGGGAGGGTGAGGGGTAATGGCGGAGGCCGAGGCTCCGCAGCTGCGGGGCACAGGGAGGGGCAGAGGAGGGGCATTCAGCTGTGAACTGAGTCCAGACCCATGGGGGCCCTGCGTGTGCGGCTCCTTATCCTGGAAACAGGGAGGCTGGAGACCCTTGGCTTGTCTGGAGCAGAACCCTAGTGTCCAACAGAGTGCATGGGGCTCAGCCCTAAAACTAAACATTCTTTGTTTCCTGATGACCGTGGGGACGCAGTGGGGGATGGGGGGAAACGCCCTGGCCTTATAGTTTAGAATTTTATAAAAGGAAAGGCATGGCCACTGACAGTTTGCTCTTCAGGAGTCCCAGAGTGACTGACTGGCTCCGGACAGGGAATGAGGGGGTCCTTAACGCTGATATTTGTTTTCCAAGAGACAAAGGTGATGGGTGAGGCGGCTAAGCCTCTATAGGTGGGTGTCATTCATTTCAGGACATGAATGGATAAATAAACATGATAGAAAAATGCCACAAGCCCTAGGCCCACTGGAGTGGACTGGACAGTCCGTTCCCAGTGGGTCCCTCAGCCTCGGTCCCCCACCCTGTCCCAGAGCCCTGGGGCTCACACACATCCTTCCTGGCTGCCTGGCCTGTGGCCCCCGATCCCCTCCTCCCACCGCCCCCCGCACGCACACACCACACACAGCACAAGGCAATAGAGATATGAGAGAGAAAGAGCCAGCAAGGACAGGAGAGAGGGAGTGCAAGTGTGCGCTGGGGGTAACCTGTGCATGCATGCACTGGGGGTAACCGGCTGGAGCTCAGATCCTTCCTCCAGCCCCCAGCAGGGGGGACTTCAGCCTCCTGCTCTGAGTGGGGAGCTGGGCCCACTGGACAGAGGACAGGGCCGCCTGCGGGTCAGGAATGGGTATGCTTCCTAACTGCAGGACACAAAGAGCGTTGGTCATGCACACGCAGCCAAGAGAAGGTGTCACTGGCACAGAGCCTTCTAGAGCGGCCTTGGGGACCTCGCTAGGGACCAGGACTCCCATCACTCACACTCCTTTAGGCACTGAAGTCCAGAGGACAGAGGCTGAGGGCAGAGCTCCTGGGAGCACTAGTGGAAGTAGGAGGGCTGGGCTGGAAAACCTCCCCAACCTCCTATTGCAAAGGGGCTCCAGCCAGCAGCCTCCAGGCCCCAGTGATCTTTTAAGATGCAAATCTGCACCATCATTTCCTCAGTGCCATCTCCAGTTCCTGGGATGCACCCCGCCCGTCCCCAGGGCCAGAGACCTGACCACCCTCATTCCTCCCTCAGCCCGCCCTGGGGTCTCTCCACCTGCTGACATCCTTCCAAACTGCAGTCACCTCCCCAAATGCTGCTTCCTGAGGCCCCCCAGGACACCTGCAGGGCCGGCACAGCCCAGGGGACCTCACAGCACTCGCTCCAGGCAGAGCGGCAGTTTGGCCAAGTTACCAGCTCCGTGTGGGCAGGGCCCTGGCCTGTGGCTGCCACATCCCGGGCGGGGGCACGGCCCTTCCTGGCATAGATGCTGAGCAAATGTAGGGGGAAGGGGAGTGGATGAGGAGAGCTAGGTAGCTCAGGGGCTGAGGCCTCACTGAGCAGGGTCCTGCGTGACCGGTACCCACCGCTGACCGTTCCTGCGGTAACAGTCAGGACAGGGAGAGGCAACGGAAAGAGACCTGGCAGCCCTCGCATCCTGCAGTTCCTCCACGCCCAGCCTCTCAGCCCTCCCTCTGCCCAGCCCCCCAGAGCCCACCAGTGACCCCGGCCACTGGGTCCAGCCCTCCTCAGGGGGTTCCCACGGAATCTCCCGCCTTGACCTCCTGTCCACGTGGAGGTGACGTGGGTTGCTCTGAGTGAGGGGTGCTGAGCCTAGGGTGCAGCCCACTCTCCTGGCTCCGCAGCACCACGCAGCCCGGACCACAGGCTCCTTAGAAGAATCGGAAGGGACCCTGCCCTTCCACTGAGGCTTGGCAGGGAGGCTTTGCGCTGAGGCTTCCTACGGCGGGTGTGAAAACACAGGCTTGTCCTCCACTGCTGCCCACGGGGCTGGAGCCGTCTGAAATTCCCAGCCCACAACTTCCCCAAAGCCTGCCAGTCACT